AGAGAGAGAGAGAGAGAGAGGAGAAAGACCTAACTTGGAAAGGTAGGGTTGGGGCTGCCTCCCTGGGCATGTGGCAAGCTCGTCTGTGGTGAAGGCTGGGCTCAGTTCCCTGGCTAGCGTGCCTGGTAGAGCCCCGGTTGTGGTCCAGTGGGGCACTGAAACCATCTGGGTTTCTTCTCTCCCTTGAGGGACCTGGCTAGGACAATGAAACGCAGGGCTGGGGGCTGTCAATCCAGGGCCCCCTCAAGGCTTGTGTGGTGCCACTGTGGACAGCTATGGGACAGCCATGGAGGGAGAGAGAGCCTTCCTGTGCCAAGCAGCCTTCCTGTACCCGGCTCTCAAGGTCTAAGCTGTCAGGCATGAAGCATCCCTGTGCCAGAACTTTTGGTCAAGGTGGTCAGAGCCCACCTGGATCAAGTGGAGACAGTGTTAAAGAATTTGTTGTGGAGTTTTAAAAACCTCCATGATTCAAGCCTTTAATCTCAGCTACTCGGGAGGCTGAGACAGGAGGATCGCAAGTTCAAGGCCAGCCCAGTACCTTAGTGAGACACTATCTCAAGACAAAACACAGCAAGGGCTGGAGACTAGCTCAGTGGTCACGCGTCCCAGGGACCAAGCGATATCCCGCTGGCCCCACACACCCCTAATACTCCTCGGCTGGGACCAGGACTTGCATTGGCCTGGCTTTCTCTCAGTTTCTATAGTATTTAGCACACAGGAGGGGACTGCTACCACCTAACTGTGTGATTCAGTAAAGTCATTTGCCTTGTAAGTGACCTTTGAACACAGCTTGGGGACTGTACTATTGCCAGATTCATTCTTACCTACATCTATCTTCTTTGATTTTTATTTTCTTTTGTGTGAGGAATCGAACTCAGGACCTTGCGCTTGCCAGGCAAGCACTGTGCCACTGAGCTACATCTCCGGCTCTCTTCTTTGATTTTTGATATGTCCTAGCCCTTAGCTTAATTTTCTCTGTTTCTCAAAACACGTCTGGAGATGTCACAAGGAGATTCTAGAAAATCATTTCCAGTTCCCTGAGATCTTTCATGACCCTTGATAGGAAACACACACAGTGCTGTTACTTTGCTTATTCTAATTTTTTCCTAATAAGTATCTGCAGTGGCTAATTGGCCTTTTCTATAGAGGATGTCTTTTCATCTATAAATGAAAGAAGTTATGGTTTATACCTAAAATGTCCCCAGAACCTGATGTGGGGGTGCATGCCTGTAATCCCAGTACGTTGGGAGGTTGAGGTAGGAGGGTTGCCTAGAGTTTGAGCCCAAGCTGGGCTATTAGGGAGACCCCGTCTCAAAACAAACGAATAAACATCCCTAGGAAGCTCATATTAGAGGACGTGCTTCCGGAATATACCGCATC